GCACAAGGTCCCGAGTTCGATCCCCAGTACCAAAAAACAAACAAACAAACTCCAACCTGCACCCTCAATCTCTCTTTCCCTACTCTATTTTTATTGCTTCCATGACATTTATGACCTTCTAGAATAATATATAATTCACTATACTGTGTTCAGTAATTTACTCCAAGGACCTAGAACAGAACTCAGCACCCAGGAGGCACTCAGTAAATATTTGTTGAATGAATGAATAACGAATAATGCCTGGACCAGACTGCACATTCCCCGTGAGACAGCTCCTGCACTACACATCTTAAACGATCGCCTCTTTGAGACCTCAGAACACAAGGAATGACTGCTTTCCTTATTTTACAGATGAAGACACTGGGAAGTTCAGTAGGTTGTCAGAAGTCACATACCTAACTGTGAGTGGGAACAGGCCTGTCTGACCCCATACCCCACTGTAACATCTAGAGATGGATGTGCAGAAAAAAGACACTAATCTCGGGCCAATAGCTGAGGGCAGGCAACAGATGTCCACGAGGAAGAGACTCCACTGATGACACATCTTGGAACCATATTAGGGTGGGAGATGGGCTGAGTTTTAGGTCCCCTCAGTCCCGGTTGTGCTTAGAGGTCTCTCTTTTTAGCACTGGTGTCTGGCTGGATTAGAACTAATTTGAATGTTACCATGGTATTTTCAAACTCTAGTGGTTTCTTTCTCTCTTTTTGCTTGTTTTGCTTTGTACAGGGTCTCCTTATATAGTTCAGGCTGGCCTCAAACTCCCAGCGATTCTTCTGCTCAGCCTCCCGAGTGCTGGGATTGCAGGTGTGTGCCACCATGTCCAGCTCAAACCCTAGTAGTTTCATAGGAGGTTCTCGTCTGGGCCACTTCAGTGGGGATTGGTCAGTAGCTGTAGGTGAAGGGTAGTTAGTCAAGGTGCTCTGGGAAGTCAATCAGCATCCTAATCCTCAGACTGATGCCGCTCAGAGCCCTGGTGTGTCTCCGTGTGCAATTCTGACAGGTTTGGCACTCATGATCACCCTTTGGCTTTTCTTTCCCAGGATTCCTTGGAGTTTGTGCCACCTATCTATTGTTCCCTGCTCTCAATCTTGGTTTCTTTGGGTCTCAATGGCTTCTGCATGAGAAGGGTAAATAAAAGGTAAGAAAAGTGCAAAAGTAAATATTGATGCTTCCAGAAAAATCCCATGGTGGTATGGCTGAGTGAAATCGCTGACTATAACCTGTCACTGGGAGCCAGAGGACAGGATGAAGGCTTACACAGGATGGGGGTTCAGATCAATATTCTGTCACTTCTTAGGGTAATGAAGAAAAGCCACTTAATAGCCTTGGCTTTCAATTTTCTTATCTGTTGAATGAGGATGATAATTCCTACTTCCTAGGGTTGTTGTAAAGACTCTGTATTTCAAAAGATGCAGCGCTGAAATGCTTCATATGGGCTGAATTTTTATTTGTTTACAATTTAAAAAAAAATAAATGTCTACCATTACTGTGGAGGGTTAAGAGTCAACTCTAAATCCTTTCATCCTCCAAGAACTCCACTGTGGTGTTCTATGGCTTTAAAAGTTATTCATTCCTCTCTATCAAGTACAGTAGGCTTGTCCTTTAGTTATTTCCACCTGAACATGCAATCTGCTTACTCATAAGAATGGAAGGTGTTCTGGTTCCATAATACCACATTCTCTAAAAGCATCTGTCTTACTTTACCCTAAATCTTTAGGTAATTAGAATTAGGAAAGAGTGCTCAGGTCAGACACGCGGCCGTCTAGAATTTACACACAGACTTTCTAGAGCAGTGGCTCTGACCTTTGAGAGCCTGCAGTTCTCTGAGGCTCTGATGAACACTGCAGTCCCTCCCTCCTGAGAATTCCTCTGCACATAATTGTGCATGCTGATGGAATACATCTGATTCTGCACTCGGATCATTTTAGATCATCCAAGGCTCTTTCGGAATCCACTTGGGACAGAGGTTGAGAACATTTGCCTAATGGTGGCAAAGTGGCCATGAGGACTAGTTTCCTGCTAATCCCTAAAACACTTGTTAATTATTAGTAGAAAAACAATCTTGTCATTCCAGGAGGTTTTGTGCTTTCTTTAGGGTTTTTCCTCACTGTGACCAACAATAAAGGCATTTAGAGGGACCCTTCCTGGACCCAGTCAGTAACCAACCCGTGCTGCAACCACACTGACACCAAGCAAGCCACTGTTCCTAAGACTCACAGAGGTCAGCCAGGCCTCGAGCACATATAACTCTCCATAGTTTCCACTCACTGGACATCTAACTACAAAGCAGAGGCTAAAAACAGACCAGGCCTAGTTCTTACTAATGCACCCCACAGAGGTGCATTTCCAGCTCTGAGGGCCTCCATCAGCAACACCGCTCACAGTCCAAAGAGGTACTGTACTGTACTTCTTTTAGAAGGAAAAAGTCATTCCACTCTGAGTAAGCCTGAGCACAACCTGAAACAATTAGGAAGATCTGGAAGTATTCAAAAAATATTATTTGCACCTGTTAGTTCTAGGTCTAAAAAAAGAAACCAAAATACCTCCAGGATTAGGACGGCCTTCTTTGTCTTTTGTCATAGCATTGCATGGTATGAAGGAAAACAGACAGCATTTTCTTCCTCCTCCTATTTCTACCTCAACATTTTTCTACCCAAAGCTTGAGCTGTTCAAACATAGCAGCCATTAATAAATTCCTACCTACATACATAAATATATGCATAGCAGGAAGGAACCATATGATGGTGAGCATAGAAAAATGATTGCATTTCTCCAAAGATCTTCCAAAGATTACATAGAGCAAATTTTTTGAATAAAATATACTTAACAGATTATTAATGTTTGATATAATAAATCAGATTACAAATAAATATGAATATCATACACATTGCTAAAGAATTGTATAAATTTAAGATAATTTGAACATAAAATTTAGCAAAAGAGCTGAAGAGATAAAAATAATTTAAAAATTCAAGTACAAGGCTGGGGATTTAGCTCAGTGGCACCAAACCTGCCTGGCAAGCACAAGGTCCTGAGTTTGATCCCTGGTACAGGGGGAAAAAAATTCAAGTACACAAAATTCTATAGATTCTTTCACACTGGGAAAATGAAACAAGCACACAAGAAATTATAGTAACAACTGCATGATAATGAAATACCCATCTTCTATCCCCACGCACAGACAGTCCAAAAAATGTAATCCTCCTCTATTACAAGACAGCTGCTTTCCTAAATGAGGTTCTTGAACATATCCATGGAACATTTTTCAGGAGGATGAAACGAAGCTGCCACGTACACATGGTGTTAATTCCTCCCAACTTTTCTTTGGAAGGCAATTCATTGGAAGCAAGTGCTAAAAGAAACAAATTTCGGCTCAGTGACACTATTTCCATATGTGCAGCCAACACAAGGTCCTTACAAATATCCCATGGCAGAATATGACCTCTGAAACCAAGGGTACAAAATGATCCTGTTCCATCTGAAATGGGATTTCAGAGCCGTGATACATTCCAGGTAAACCCCAGCAGATTCTGGCTCTGCCACTGAACCTGACACACTCCCAGGAGGTCACTGTTGGTGACGAAATGACAGCTGTAGATCAGGCGCTGCTGAAACCCAACAGCGGTCTAGGAGTGTCTGCCTGTGGAAGTCTTCTTCATATCTACTCATATAAACCCCTCTATTATTTCCTCAATAACTTTTTAGATGCCTAGAGACAAACACTTTTTCCAGTTCCCCTGCCATTTTTGTGAACTTAAATTTTGGAAGATTTAAAATTATATTATAACAAAAAATGGTATTTTTTCCAGAAAAGGATTAGAGGCACCAGGTGTATCAATTACATAGCCCAGAAGTGTCTACATTTTGAAAATCAGCAATTCTCTCTCTAGGCTATGGATGTTAATAAAGATCCCATGTACCTTGCAAGTGGTTTCTAAATGCCCATGAAATATTTCCTTCAGAATAACAAGAAAATAAATATTGCTTCAGACTGAGAGAGTAAATGTCTCCCCAACATTTGTCAGGCTGGACCAACAGACATAGGAAAGCCAACTGCAAAGTTGACAGGAAAAGGGCATTTCTTCCAGGAAAACTGCTGCTGCTTAGTGTCATGGTAACCGCCTTCTTCCAGAGCCTACAGACTCACCATGAAACTTTCTTCTCTGATACCGACCACTGTCAGTGAGTTCGCTGTTTGAAACTGCATCAGCAAGAATGAAATATCTCTCTTGTCTGGAGGATCCAGAAAAGCAGTCTAGGTCCCAGGCCAGACCAAGAGCTCTAGAAGAGTTCTGGATACCACAGCCCACATTTATCTCGATTGTATTGTTAAAGGAATGAGATCCTGGGTTTGCCTTGCAGACCAGGCACACATCTAAACTCCACTCTTCCTAGAATCCTAAAATAACTCTTGTCTAGAATAGAGTCTCACTCGTTACAGGGGCCAATGGATCTAATTTTGTTAGAATGCAGGGTTGTTTCCATTTTTCTTAGGCTGACTGAGATAAGGCCATATTTTTCAATAAAGTGCTCCAGGTAAAGAAAGTATTTGCTGCTTGACTAATAGCTTGGAATTTTGAAAACTGCCTTTCAGATATTGAAAAAACAACACATCCCTGCTGTAGTGTAGTCTCCTGAGACCTGTGAATTGTAAATTCTAGGCAGGCTTCACATCTAAGCAGAAACGTTACAAGAGCTGAGAAGCCCACGGTGTGTTGAAATGATATTTTCTGACTCTGCTGCTGCTGCTGCAGTTACCTGTGGCAAGTTTCCCTGCTTCTAGAAATGTCACGGCTGGCAACCAAACGCCACCAGTGCGACTGTGAATCTCAGAGACAAGAAAGGGAAACAGGTGCTATAGACACGGCCCTCGGGTTTCCCAGAACAGGCTCTCTCCACAGCTGTAGGGCTGTCAGATTTAAGGAGAAGGGAAAAGTGCCTGGGAGGGTTAGTCAGAGCAGGCGCCTCTTCCAGGGTTGGAAGGCCGCTCCCAACTCACCCGTGGGAGTAGCCGTAGTCATAGGCTGAGGTGGCTTTGCGGCTGACTTCAGCCCCTAGGGAGTAGTGTGAGGCCTGCTGCTGGGAGGAGGCCGCCACCTGGCTGAAAGCCTCGGACTCCTGGCGGTGGGCAGCAGAGGAGCGGCTGGTGTAGGCTGCGGAGCCGTGTGTGTAGATGGCAGAGTGCTTCTTCTCCTGCTGGTAATGGCTCACGGTGGTGCGAAGGTCTTTGTCGCGGTAGCTGAGGTCATAGTGCTGGTGGGACTTCTGATAAAAAGGCAGAGCCATCTTGTGTCCCGCAGGGAAGCAGGCGACCTACAGGAAGACAACTATTCTTGAGTGAACTACTAGGCAACAAATTCCACAGAACAAGTCTACACCAACCTGTGAGAATTCACACTCTTATCTCTCCAAGGAGCAGGCGGAAAAGGATGTGAAGTTGCCCTTAAATGGTTACCCAGTAAACTCCTACATGTGTCCCCTCCTGCCACAATGCTTCTTTTTTCTTTGTATCCAGGAGATCTTGACAGATTTCCCTGCCCTGGATATTGGTGGCTTTTGTCTCTGACCCTCTATAATACTTATTTCTTGTTTTCTGGGAGAATACGTAATGATGGAGAGTAAAATGGTATGCACTCAACAAATAGTGAGCATCTAGTGAACAAACAAAGTCTCCAGCCTGATTATCCGGCATAGAACCACATACATATACTCTGGTGTAGAAGACAGACAACAGTGAAAATAATAGGTGAAGCAGGAGATCTATCAGACTGCTTTAAAGCAGGAAAGTGGGGAGGGATGAATACATTTTATTTTTAATAGTCCATGTTTGCAGTACATAGTGATGATATTCATTGTGGGGGATTGGTACATGCACAAAGCACATCTTAATTCTTTTCATAACCCCTCCCCTCCCCTCCCTGCCCCCCCCCCAGCTCCATCTGTTGGTCCTCTTCCCTTTTGCAAAAGATCCACTCCCTGTTTCCTCTTATCTATTTTTTATTTGGACACAGGCTTCGACAGCCTCATCAGGGATGGCTTTGCTGGAAAGTGGCATCTGACCAAGGAGCACAGGCATCGCCAACAGCCAGTGAGGTTCAGGGGCTGGGGAGGGGCGAGATGTAGACGATGTCAGAAAGATGAGGGGCAGGCTGGAGGGAAGCAGATGGTGTAGGGACCTATAAAGGACTTCGGCTTTTATCTCGAATGGGCTAAGAAGCCACTGCAAGGCTCTGGTGTCTGAAGAACAGACTATTCAGGGCCAACAGGAAAGCCAGGAGGTTGATTAGAAGGCTGTTACAGGCTGAGTTACATCCCCCGAAAACCCACATGCTGAAGTCCTAGCCTCTGCTTCCTCAGAAGTTGACTGTATGTGGACATAGGGACCTAAAAAAGAAATTAAAATGAGGTCACTAGGAGGGCTCTAGTCCAATATGACTGACGTCCATATAAGAAGAGGAAATTAGGACACGTATCAGGGAAGACTGTGTGGAGACATGGGGAAAAGGGCCATCCACAAGCCAAAGTGAGGCTCAGAAAAACAGTACCACCAACACCCTGGTCCCAGCTTTCTAGCCTCCAGAATGGCAAGGACATAAATTGCTGCTGGCTAAGCTACCTGGTTGGTGGTATTTTGTTATGGTGGCCCTAGGGTGGCGCACACATACACAAAGGCCACTGCAGTGGGCCAGGAGCGAAGACCATGGTTAACAGAGCAAGTGTGAGAAGTGGTTGGAGTGTACACAAGATCTGAAGGTAGAACCAATAGCACTGCTGGAAGTTCTGAGGGCAAGAGAGAGAACCCCAAGGCTTTTGTCTGAGCAAAGAATGAAGCTGCTATTAACTGAGGTGAAGTGGACAAGAAGTCATCAATTTGGGGTAGAAGAACAGGAGATTGGCTTGACAGGATCTGCATTTGTTTTTTAGTACCAGGGATGGATTCCAGGGACTCACAAATGCTAGGCAAGTGCTCTACCACCGAGCTTCATCCTGCAGTGCTGCTCTACATTTGAGATGCCTGCTCGACCTCCAAGTGGTGATGTTCAGTGGGAAGCTGGATGTGTGATTCTGGGATGCAGAGAGGTCTGGAATGGATACCTACATTTGGGAGGCAGTGTGTTGGTAGTAAGGAAAGCCAAGAAAACAGGTGAGAATAATTATAAATGGAAAAGTAAGTGCTGGGACTGAGCCCCGCAGTTTGGTGGTTATATACAAACTCTCTCAAATCACACAGGCACTTCAAAAAGGCATAGTTTCAAACCAGAAAAAGGTTTGATTGGGACTCTGAAGGCTTCCTATCTCCCTACATAAAAAAATGAGAGAGCCGCTCCTCCATGTGGCAGTTGACATTGTGAACCTGAGTTGACAGTTCTGAAAGTCAAAGATAAGTTTGCTTAGCTTTGGAAAGACACATTTCACACCACTTGGCTTTCTTGAATAATCTCTTCACTGACAGGCCCATCGGCCATGTGGACAACCTGGAATGAGGTCAAAGTTTTATTGAGGTCTCCACTCTGTTTTAAAAATGCTTATGTTTGTGTTCTGAAATGTTCTTTCAAAGTTTTATAAGAAAAAGTAGTTTCAGGCTGGTCATTTATTTATTTTTGGTACCAGGGATTGAACTCAGGTCCTTACACTTGCGGGCAGGTGATGGAACCACTGAGTTAAATCCCTGGCTCAAGAAAAATTAGTTTTGAAGTAATCAGATTTTTTTTGCTCCAAACTTTATTTTTCTTAAAATTCTATTGAGGAGTAAATCCTTCTAAAATTACCATCTTTTTGGTCAAATTTCCAACTACTTTTTATTTAAACTATTTAAAAAGTCAGTATGTACTCCCTAGAGAAGAAAACCCAGCAAACTTCACTCCAGAAATATTTATCTTAGGTCTCATGGAAGATATCAATCTACATGGCATTTCCCAAGAGGAAAAAAATAGCTGCTAGCAAGCAACTCTGCTTCAACCCTTAAACAGATTGCTTTTTTCTGTTGTTAAATATACAGAATAATTATTATTGCATAATGAATAATTAGGTGAACTTTGATAGTCCAAGAGTTAGACTATATTAATATAGAATTATGTGAGGTAGTTATAAAGATATTAGGTAAGCTTCTATAACGATACATACCACATTGTCACATGGCAAATGTTAATTGAATGACTTCCAAGTAAATAATAAAGGTCCTTCCTTTGTTTGTGAAATCACTACCCAGATGATTTGAAATGCTGTAATTTTTACAAAATAAAATCTTTAGTTTACCCCAATTCTATTTTCCATTCTAATTTTCCCCAGTATATTCATTCTTAATGATCTTTAATCTTCCATACACATAGATTGTTTATTACAAGTAAACAGGGTCTGACTTTAAGTCGCCAGAGCTGGCTGACGTCCTGACAGAAGGTATAACTCCTCCCACTTCATCAAGTAAGCAGGGATTTCCCCCGGCACACACAACAGCCAGAGTTTGTAGGAAGGAAAAATGATTTGTTGTCTTGTTTCCTTAAAACCTACATTTGCTTTCTTAAAATAATGTGAGAATTTAGAAAGAAGTATACATTCTATAGTTGCAATCTTGAAATGATACTTCTGTAGAGGCAGATTCAGAATATCAAGAAGCATTCATCCACACTGCACTGGCAGAGCATAATCCTGGAATCACATTCTACTGACTGCAGGGCTCATTTGCCTCCTTTTGGCTTAATTTGTAATGAGTACTGTAGGCACAGAGAGGAAGGAAAACACAAGTTCTCCTGTCCCTCAGCCAATCCAGATCTGAACCGAACTTCTGACCTGTACCTTGGAAAGTACTTACACTTACAGTTGAATCTAAGACAGACATGATCTTATGGTCTCAGGAGCAGCAACTTAATTTAAAAAGAATACAGTGATCTGAGAGAACAGCCTCAGGAGCCTGCTGGCACCCTGCAGTCCTGGTTTCCCTTCCAGGAGCGTCACTTTCTGATTTCTCTGCTGTTTTGACATCTCTGAGAAAACTGCTGAGCAAGAAGATGGAAGCAGCACACATTGGAGCACATGAATGACTGAGCACATTTTTCTGCACCAGTTACACACTCACCAGCCTCCAAAGGACCAACGTTGATGGGAATGTTCCGATGCCGTGAGGGGCTGCAGGAGACGATGAAAACCTCAGCTAGGCTGGATCCAAGGAAAAGAGGCCGACTGGAGACAGGACCCTGGGGCCCAGTTCCAAAATAAGGCATGTGGTCAGACAGCAGAATGTCAGGCCCCACAGCCAGCCTTTTATGGCCAAGCAGGCAGATAAATATAGCAGCAGATGGGGAGGGAGTCCCAAACCCAAAAGAGGACAGGCACAGGTAGGGAGCGGCTGCCGTAATGTGGTTCCATCAGTGCCAGCACTGTCTACGGCCTGGTTGAATCAAAGACAGGATTTTCACTGGGCTATCAGAGAAAGGTTCAATATCGCTTTATCACGGAGTATTTAAAAGTGTAATGGAAAGAGTGGTTTGTGCTGAGAGCTAAAGATAGGTGTAGTAATCTGATTCTGAAAATGGACTTCATGGAATGCCGAGATATGCTTCTGGGTGTGCCTTTAGTAGCACATGTGTAAGGCCTTTCAAAGACACCAAGTGAAAAAAAGAACCTGCGGCTAACTAGAAGCAAAACAAGAAATGGGTTTCATGTGGTGGTAGTTTGGGCCTCATAATGCACAAGTCATGTTGCTCTCGTTTCAGGAAGATTTACAAAGCAAATCACAGCTCCAGGTTTGCTCCTTAATTAAAGTCTTTTGAGAAGGATTTTTTTTTTTTTGTACTGGGGGTTGAACCCAGGGCCTTTGTACTGAGCTTCATCCCCAGCTCTTTTTTAATTGTTTGAGACAGGGCCTCCCTAAGCCACTCAGGCTGGACTTGAAACTGACTCTCTTGCCTTAGCCTCCCAGAGTGCTGGGATTACAGACATGCACAACCATACCCTGGCTGGAAACCAGTGTTTTATCCTTCCTAAACTCAGACTAGGGGCAGTCTAACTAACAAGGGAGTCTTTGTTTTTCAGATGGTGTAACCTAGGAGGAGGTGTAATCTGTGGCTAGAGCCTCACTGTGGACTCAAATCAGGCCCGATTACAGTCCACTGATGGCCTTCATAGCCCCGAGAACTCAGGCAGTTTAGCTCTCCTTCCTATGCCTCAGGTTCTTTCTCTGAAAAATGGAGATAATAGTATCCCAATTACAGGACTGCTGTGGAAATTAAATGTGATGATGAAGATAAAGTACTTACCCAGGGACTGCCACACAATAAAGGCTCACTAGCATCAACTGTTATTACTACAAGGAATAATAGAAAAGTTCTCTGTTCAGAGTAAATATAGTGAGCAGACTGATATTCTGATATAGTGGCCTGTGTTCTGACAATTGATTACACTGAATATACATCATTCATATCTACCAAATAGTGAAGAGACTTTCTTTTCAAATATTTATTTTTAGCTTAAATTGCCACATAAAACGCACAAATTAAAGGAGTAGCATGTGATGTTTCAAGTCCTGTATTTATTGTGCAATGTTTAAATCAGGATAAACATTTATCATCAAACATTTATCATTCTTTTGTGGTAAAAACATTCAAATCCCTCCTAGCTACTTTAAATACACAGTGCACTAGCATCTCTATAGTCACTGTGCTGCACTATAGAGCTTCTTGCTCCTAATTATAACTTAATACCCACCGATCTACCTCTCCCCACCTCTCCCTCCCTGCTACTCTCCTCATTGTCTGGGAGCGACCATTCTACTTTCAACTTCTATCAGATCAACATTGTCTGATTGCACACATAAGTAAGATCATGCGGCATTTGTCTTTCTGAGCCTGGCTTATTCACTCAACAGAAGGATCTCCTGTTCCATCTGTGTTGTTGCAAGTGAGGAGATTCTGTATTTCTAATGGCTGAACAGGATTCCATTGTGCACATGTGCATTTTCTTTACTTATGCATCACATGATGAACTTGCTGCTTGTTTCCATTCCTTGGCTGTTGTGAGTACTGCTGCAACAAACTTGGGAGTGCAGTTGTCTCTGACATATGGATTTCATTTCCTTTGGGTGTATACTCAGTAGCGGCATTGCTGGATCATATGGTACTTCTATTTTTAACTTTTTAGGAACTTCCATACTGTTTTCCACAATGGCCATACTAATTTACATTCTCACTAACAGTGTGCAAGGGGTCTCTTTTTCTCACATCCTCAACACTTATCTTTGTCTTTTGGATAACAGCCATTCTTACTGGGGTGATATTACTTTCCTGGAGGTAATGACAGCTAGCAGTGCTGAGGACACTGGGACAGGCACTTCATATACAGGATCCCAGTGACTTATAAGATCCTTTGGGGAGGGATCATTACCTCCATTAAATAGGTGAAGGAATCGAGGCTTCAGGAGGTGAAGTCATTTGCTGGGATCACTCAGCTTGTGGGTGACACAAATGCAATTAAGAGATCGCTGGGTCCCAAAGTCCATGTTCTTGTCATGCATGGTTGCATCATCCAGTGCCACTTTGTGGCCAAGGAACTAGATCTCTGAAATGGTCTTCATGTGTAACCTCAGTCTCCCCTGGCAACAGGTCAGCTCTGGGTGACCCCAAGCTATGAAAACGAGTGTGTTCTCTTGGTTCCTCACCCAGTTTCCTGAGAAAGCTCGACCTGGTATTTCTTTGGCTACAAACACCTCTGGTCAGTGTGCATATTGGCATGTTAGCTGTCTGGAATCCACAGGAGAATTTCTAAAGCTTTATGCTCCCAAGCATTCATTTGTTTTCAGGATGCCCAATACAGGTCTTCTCAAGGTTTACCCTCCAGCCATTGGAATGGTTCCTGGTGAGCCATTTCTCTAGAACTCAGTAAGTTGCTTCAAATCTCCTCAGAGCAGAGAAGAAGGAAAGTAAACACAAATAAGAGACATAAACCATCACAGGACCAGTCAAGATTTAATGACTACTGGATGCCAGGGATTACTGTCAGGGATAATCTTATTTGATTATCACAGATATATAAAAAATTTTTATTGCTTAAGAAGTTGATATTTAGGGCTGGGGATTTATCTCAGTGGTTCCACCGCCTGCCTCTCAAGCACAAGGTCCTGAGTTCGATCCCTGGTATCAAAAAAAAAGATATTTAGAGAGATTAAAGTCACAAAACTCAAATGGGACAGAGGATTCAAGCCCAGGTCTGACACATCATGCTGTCCTTTATCTCAGCCATCTTGCTATGTGTATGCGTGTGAACAGGGAGGACATGCTCCAGTAATGTCCACTACTGTCACAGAAGAGCAGCTTCATCTATGTCTCTTACATAATAGATAATGATCTATTAGATTAAAGTGTATAGGCTACATTTATCAATATCTCAAGTTGAAATATTTACTGAACTTTGATCCTTGTTAAGAATTCAAAATGAGAAGTCCATATAAACTGTGGAAAACTAAAACATTATAATTTATCAACATTCAAGAAGCTAGTGAAAGCCAAAGAGTATTTTTCCAAACAAATATACAAGAAGATTGGACAGAAGAAACAGGCACAGCACTCAGCCCAGTGTCCTAAGTGACATTTCTGCTGTAGCATCATCTAGGTTTAGCTTTGTCTAAAAGCATTTTTATCCAGAATAATATCCATGTGATAAGTTACATAATGATGTACTGGCTAATAAAGAAGAAAATTTAGTTGGGCTCATTCAAATCAATTACTGTGATTTAGTCTCCATTCCCTTACAGATGTGTACTCATTCTGAGGTGTAATTACTCTAGTTTATCCATGATACCCTTACAGATGTGTAATTATTCTGCAAACCTAATGGAGCCCTAATCACTTGTTAATTTCAAATTTCCCAGAAATTGATCTAATGAAAAAGTTTTTAAAAAGCATTTAACTGCCAGGTATGGTGGTACACACCTGTAATCCCAGCACTTGGGAGGCTGAGGCAGGAGGATTACCACAAGTTCGAGGCCAGCCTGGGCTACATAGTGAGTTCAAGGGCAGTCTGAACTACATAGAAAGACCCTGTTTCAAAAAACAAACAAACAAATAAATGCATATAACTAACAGTCTGGAGATTTCAGAAAATATTTGCTTCAAGAATCTAGTTAGTTTTTCAAAGTGGTCTTAAAGTAGATATAGTCTCTTTTCAAACAAATTGAGAGAATACTAATATTTTGTAAGTGTGAAGTAACATGTGAAACTACCAGTAGTGTATTCAAAAAGCCAAAATAAATGTGTAAGTTTTATTTAGCCCCCTAGCATTTTGTCAGCTCATTTTAATTTTACAGTAGTAGATGAAATAATCAATAACAAGTCACTGCTCTGTACGTGAGGGAATAAACAAAAGAAATATCCTTTTTAAAGATGAAACGTAGAGGACTGGGATGTAGCTCAGTGGTGCTGCACCTGCCTGGCAAGCACAAAGTCCTGAGTTCGATCCCCAGTACCACAAAAAAGAAAAAAAAAGGAAATGAAAAGAAAAAAACCTAAATCTCTCCCCCCCACCACCAGGGATCCAACTCAGGACCTTGCACTTGCAAGGCAGGCACAGTGCCACTGAGCTACATCCCCAGCCCAAAAAAACCCTACATTTCAACTGATATTTGGAAAGTTTTGTCTTAAGTGGCTCAGATTAACTAACAAATAAAACCTATATACCCACAATATGTAAAAATAAAGACTTACATTTACCCAGCTCAGTTCTTTAAGCATTTATCGAAAACCTACCAATATTTCAGGCATTGTGCTGTGCTCTGGGGCACAGAGGTGACTGGATCATACCCTTAAAGCAGCATCTGTATGGCTGAGGTGACAAAGACTCTTTTAGAAAAATTATGTTATGGGGCCGGGGATTTAGTGCAGGGATTCCAGCTCCTGCCTCACAAGCGCAAGGTCCCAAGTTTGATCCCCAGTACCAAAAAAAAAAAAAAAAAAAAGAAAAATTATGTTATAATGGGATAGGTGCAATGACACAGGCAGATGTGATTAGCTTTTACATTTGTACAAACCAAAACCAAAACGAATCTCTCACCTTTCAAAGATAGGAACCAAAAGGGCAAAATCTAAAATTGTGCTAGGTATGGAGAAGGAAAAAAAAGATTGTTAGGGCCTATAATCAAGAATTTTCAGCCGAAGATTTAGCTCAGAGGCACCATGCCTGCCTCACAAACACAAGGTCCTGAGCTCAATCCCCAGTACTGGGGGAAAAAAACCAAAAAACAAATAACCAAGAATTTCCAAACTTGACCCAGCATTTCTCCAATGCAGATTCTTTCAACAGAAGCTTAACTTGTTCAGTGAGCTTTTTTGGTTATTTTATTTATTTTCTTTTTTTGTTTTGTTTTGTTTTTTGAGACAAGGTCTCACTATATAATTCAGGCTATTCTTGAACTCACTATGTAGCCCAGGCTGGCCTCGAACTTGCAATGATTCTCCTGCCTCAGCCTCCTGTGTGTTCAGATTACAGGTGTGCACCACCACACTCAGCCCAGTGAGCTCTTTTGAAAATTATAGTTCTCAGTTAACATATAGGATAGTTATAGGATGTAGGAGAGCTGAGTTGTATCCTCCCACTCTTATAGTTGACTGTTAAATATATATACGTGCACACGCACATGTGTTAGAGGAGGGTATTTGGCACCTATCTAGTCTTGTTTATTGAGTGACTTTCAAAAATCATTTCACCTCTCTGAAGCTTGATTTTTTTCAGCTATGAAACAAAGTATTGAAGCTTGATGATCTCTAAGGTGATCCCCAGCTCTAATAACCTGTGCTATCAATTCAAAAAGTGACTATTCTAGTCTTGCCTTGCTAATGAGCTGATCAGCAACATCCTGTGTGGAGCAATTTGGGGAGGGTAATGGACAAAACAAACCCTTCCTGCTCCAAAAAGTTGCTTATAGTTGATAGCTCACATCTGAAATGCTCCTTCCTAAGAGTTCCTTCATAACTTTAATTCCTACTATACTGAAAATAATACAGAAATGTGTTTCAAGGGATTATCTGTGCATGGGGCGAGTACTAGGAATTCAACCTAGGAGTGCTCCATTGCTGAGCTACATCCTCAATTCCTGTCATATTTTAATTTGAAACAGGGTCCTACTTGGTTACCCAAGCTGGTCTTGAACTTGAGGCTATTCTTTCTTTCTTTCTTCTTTTTTTTTTTTTACAAAGAAAATAGTTTTATTTGTATATCAAAGACTAAGAAATGAAGACATAACAAGGTTACCAGAGCTGACAACATGGAAAGCTACAGATGACTTATCCCTGCCCCATCCAGCTTGCCCTGCCCCCACATCAGCAGCTCTGGTGCTCACCCACCTGGCTAAGTACACATCCAGCCGACAGAACTGCGGTTCCGTTCCATTGGTCCTTGAGGCTATTATTTCTTTAAGTTTGAAGGTTACAAGGAGGGCATGATGATGGAAAAGGCTAGAAGACAGGGCTCAGTGCAACAGCTATCACTGCACAAGCAGAATACATTTTCTCACAAAGTAGAAGAATGAAATCACAGACAGAAAGGAGCTAGTGAAAAGGGAAGTGTTTATTGAAAGTATAAGAGGAAAGCTCCTAGAAGCTAGAAGGGATTCTAGAAAGTAGGGTATCCTGCTGGGTCTTTGTCCAGACTCTTTTATGGGAATCTGCCTGCATCCAGTGGTCACCTATTACAGGCAGCTCCGTGGGTTTCAGATGACCAGTTGGGACTCTTCCTCTCTAAACCAGTTACTCAGCATGCAGAATATAAAGGAAACCAAGTTGAAAAGAAAACGGGTTATTCTGTATTTGTAAGTTCTTTGAAACTCAGGCCTGGATGTAGGGAGGGGTTGCACTGCATTCCACTGGAGGAACTGCTTTCAGAGGAACTCCTTCCTGGGTCAACGGGTCAAATCCTACTGCCTATTCTTACTTTAACTCCTATCAGTGTGGCTGACCACCTGACTCCCTCTTGAGGCCTGTGTCTTGCTAGCTGCTTATTTGTAAGCTAAATAACTAAACTGCCCCTTACACTAGCACTATTATCAGAAGGCAAATTTCACCTATTAAATGAACCAGATATAAGGTAGCTGAACTAGACCTAGATCTAAAGTTAGAGCTCATGGTAACATTACCTGTATCTGGGTAATGGGGAAATGAAGCCAACACAATCCCTGTCTTGTATCAGGCCCTCCAGACTGGGAGGGACCCACTCAGGCTCTCCCCTCAGGCTCTCCCCTCAGCTGGGGACGGCAAGAATTCCTGGGCCAAGGGTCCTGGAAAGGGGCAAGCTTGCAACAACATGGCACTGGCAGGTAAGTAGTAGGACAGGGACCCAATCTCTACTCAGCTCCTGGCCTCCTACACTGTCCCTAAATTGGACTCCAGGCCATCAGGAGGCACAAACAATACCATGGAGGCCTTGGTTTTCTGTGGAATGATGCATTTGTAACTGCATAATGGAATTACGTTCTATTATTTTCCAGTTGACCACCTTTCTCTTCTCTTCTGAGCTCCTTTCTCCATCACAAGAACCTTTTCCATGCCTGTCCAAACTCTCTTCCCCTATCTAGAGAGAGGAGGGAAGCCCTTGGATGTTAAAGTGCACCTGACCTAGGGCCATGGCCTAAAGGGCACAGACTGATAAAATACTGCCCCTAGACAGAAGGAGTGCAGTTACCAAGTGCCCTTTATGGAATGTCTCAAAGGAGAGTGAAGGGGTGACGTTGACCTCCCACAGAAACCGAGAACCAGACACTATGTAGAGACAGAACAGCCAGGAGCTAAGAGTCAGTGTGGTAAAGGATAGGCTGGCTGACTGAGGGGAGAAGGCCTGTGAGTCTCTCCCAGCCATGTGTGTGGCTCAGGACTAGTGGACAGATTCTGGGATCAGGCCAAGCACTGAACTAGAAGCCTTCTTGCATTACAGTTAGTCAAAGGAGGTGCCGGTATTAAAAAGAAAAAAAGATACCAAAGTCCATTTGCTAGTGTTACTTCTATTTGCCTATTTCTCTATTTATTCATAAATAAATGTTTGGGATGATGTTCACCCAGTATTAATTAAAATTACTTCCAAATGATGAGATGTTTTAACTTTCATTTTCTCTTATTTTTTCTTTTTTGCTTTATTTTTAAAATAAATACAATTACAGTAGTATTAAGAACCATAAAGTGTATATACTTACAATGGAATATTATTCAACCTAAAAAATGGATGAAATCAGGACACATGCTACAATGTGGATAGACCTTGAAGACCTAAGAAGAATAAGTCAGACACAAAATGACAAACCACTTATATGAGGCACCTAGAATAGTCAAATCTGTAAAGACACAGAACAAAGGTAACCAGTGGCTGGGGACAAGGACAGGGAATTCTTGTTCATTGGGTACAGAATTTCAGTTCTGCAAGATAGTAACAGTTCATTGAACTGAACCCTTAAAAATGGTTAAGATGGTAAATGTAATGTTGCGTACATTCAATCACAGCGTAAAAGGAACTGTTACAGAGCAAAGATTTTACCCTTTGTGCAAGCTAACAACTTAGCCGGCTTCAGTTCATGAGCACTGACTTCTACGTCACAAACAGCAGATCAATAAAGTTCCCAGCGAAAGCAGTGACCACAGCATATTCTGCACTGGCTCACTGACTCCCAGGTCCCATGGGACAACACTATGAAGATGTTCAAGCTGGCCTTGAATTCCTGCTTCAGCCTCCTGGGTGCTGGGATTCCAGGCATGCACCACCATACCCAACTTGTACTGTTATTATTATGTGCTTTTCACTCATGAGAAAACTGGAGCACAGAGGAGCTCAATAACTTCTCTAAGACACACAGCTAAGAAGTGTTAGAGCTAGGATTCAAATTCAGAATCCTTAACAGGCTTAATCAGTATGCTATACAGCCTCATAAATGAAAACAAACTACTTCTGATAAATTTCCGTGACTTCCTCAGCTGTTTTAATAATGAAAGTACTATTTTTACCTCTGAGTCAGGCATATGTCTCCAAGGATTAAGCTGACCATGTTCTGTGTCCTCTTCTTTTTTCAGACCACAAGCATCCCCTGTCCTCCCTAGGCCACGCTGAAGCAGAAAAGAAGATATCAACACAATATGAACCTTCAGATCAGTGGCCAGAGCTGTAAACTCACAGAGTCAGCTGCTTCTGTTCTGCCCAGAATGAGAAGAGTTTGGAAAGGCAGGGCGGCCACTAGGACAGGAGAGCGAGGATGGATGGGATGGGCTGATTCTGAACATGGGAGAAACAGGGTCTTTGGTGACCCTTTGGACAAGGGGGTAAAAAGAAAGAACATTTATCCTGAAAAATAGACTTAAACTTGCAGATATCGTGCTAAGAGAAATCAGTCGGTCACAAGGGATAAATACTGTATGCTTCCACTTACAAGTGCTGGAATGGTCAAATTCAGAGAATGGCAGAGGTCAGGGGCCGGGGCAGTTGAGCAGGTGAATGAGGGGTGTTTAATAGGGACGGAGTTTGTTTCATAGGTTTCCTGCAGAGACCTAAAAGAAAAATTTGTCTCTAAACTGAGATGGCATCGATAGTTGAGGGAATGACTCGGATAGGGCCAGCTTGGTGACCAGGAGTGTATTAGAGGTCACTTACAGAGTGGCAGACAGCTACGGGCTGCAGCGCACCCAAGTTACTCTCCACTGTGCTAAGCTACTGCTTTTATAGGGCTCCACTTAAAACAGCAAAAAGCAGGATCAAAGACAAGAAGAGTCGTTGGGGAGTTATGTGTACCCCATTCCCATCCCACCCTCACGAAGAACTCTGCTGGTCTCAGTAAGCACTGTCAAGCCGCCATGGTGGGTGACCTTGTGGGCCACCAGCCTGGCACCCAGCCTCAGCGCCCAGTAGGGCCCACTGTACAGCTAACCACCACCCACTACCAGATGGAGTTACTCTGGTTAGGGTTTGGAGGACTTTTTTCCCTACCAAGTTTCAGTTAGGGAAGATGAAAAAGGTCTGGAGGTGGGTAGCAGTGATGGTCGCACAACATGAATGCATCTAATGCCACAGATGTTTAAAATATTAAGATGACAAATGTCATGTTACATGTGTTTCATCAGCATTCTGCATGGACAGCCCTCTCTTCAGCAGTCCCACAGCCTCGCCCTCCATCACGGAGACTGGAGACTCAGTGGAGGGAGGAAGAGCACGAAAGGAGAATGGAACGTACGTGGCCCCACCCTGCTTCCAGCTCTAGATGAGGGGCAGCAATGGACATGACCATGCTGGTTCTAGCTTGTGCCCAGACTTGCTTTCGTAGCCCGGAATGCACTGCACTGCCCACCACAGTCCATTCCTCAGCCTGTGTGTGCTGAGTGCGTGGGCACTGCCAGTTATCAGCTGGACCAGCAGCCGGAACCTGGCCTTCGGAGCATCTTTATTTTATCACTGCTCCACGTGTTCTCCTGAGAGGCCTCTTACCCTCTGGCTCTTGTTTTCTCACGGGTCCCTGATGGAGTGGTTCTTGTCAGAATCACCTGAGGAGCTCTTAAACTGTACTTAGGCTCAGGCCATATTCCGGGAAAATTAACTCAGAATCACTGGCAGAGTGAGGCATGAGTGTTTTTGAAAAGCTAAATGCAACCCAAGAGGAAAAATAGTCTCTTAGGTCTCTTTTAGTTCTAAAATGATGAAAGCCTCTGAATTAAAAAGAAAGCTGCAAATGTTTATACAAATCAAAGTTTTCCTTTTCAGTTACTGCCTTGGGAAGTATTTTCCCAGGAGGTACTATGGATTGAAGGGTTTTATGATATTGCTATTTGGACTTATTATGCTAATCTATAATGCCATTGACCAAATATAAATGTGTTCTTTCCTCAGTGCTCCATATTAGAATGCTTAATTTTATTTTGGCAAGATATATCCTTTTTTAAATGCATTTTAAAATTCTTTGTGAGTGTTCACATTTCCTTAAATGTTAATTATTTCACTTTCCTCTTGAATATCTTTTGACCTTTACCATGAACACTGATTTATTTTTAAGATCATTTTGATGTGTTAATATAATAAATCAGCTACCGTTAGTTCAGACCCACTATGTGCTAAATGCTATAACAGTGTTTTATAGATATTATGTTAATTTTTTTTTTTTTACAAAAACCATACATGGCTATAATCCCCAAATCATAATGAGAAACCTAAAATCAGAGAGGTTAGGCAAGTTACCCAAAGTCAGAAAGCTAGTAATAGCAGAGCTGGGACACAGATCTGTTCTAATGGGCTCTAAGACTCATTCTCTTTGCCAGACAGGCAAGTACACCCCTTCCTGATAAAGCTGCCCTGCTCCCAGTACCTGCGGGTGTTCAGTACCACATGAACCCTGATCATGGACCACAGGTGAGAGTCATCTTATATGTACATCTTGGCCAGCAACCTACAACAAACAGCCTGGGCGGAAAAGGTAAGCCAAGCTAAACATATGCCTCCTTGAGAATTTGAATTTGTAAATATTCAGTGTCAATACACTTACTAGAAGGAGCAAGAGATAAAAAGACTGAATCAAGAGATGCTTTGGATGTACTTGGAATGAAACAAGCAAGCCATGGCATCGAAAGTTATGAGGGATCACAAACTAAGGTTGATGAAGAGTAAGCAAAACAGGGCTGGGGACGTAGCTCAGCAGCACAGCACCTGCCTGGCAAGTGCAAACAGATGTGCTTAAAGACGCAGCAGTGGAACCAGAGTACTGCCATGTGGCCCATGAAAGAGAAACCAAGGATCCAATCCTGCAATCCTCAAGCTATCTGTTTTCAGTCTCTCCAGTTTAGATCTGGTTCCTGTGTCCCTAAAGTGTGTCTTTTTTTTCCGTGAGCTGCCTTTCCCCATTGTTTATTACACTTGGAAAATCAGGTGTTGAGCTCTGTAGTTTTAAATATATTTCTATTATTATTTTTCATTCTTCGGCCAATTTTTCTGTTTTTATACTTATTACCATCTGGTCTGGAGGCTCAGAATTTTGTTCCTTTTTAATGTTTCAAAGTTATGCTAAGGCAAGGACCTTAATGAAGCATTTTAAATGAAAGAGTATAAAAACAGAAAGAATTACTATAAAGATTTTATTCATCGCTCTTTCCTGCCTTGGACAATAATTCTCACTGAGCCCATTTGTCCAAACAAGATCTAGCCTGTCTGTGGCTGATCTTGCCACCTATGTACCAAGACTTCATTCAGGACCTAGCAGACCGTACAATGGTTTGGTAACATTTAACTGGTTGAGTTTCAACATGGGATTACTTCCACCATTTTGTCACTTCCTAAAACCACCTTCTTCTTTTTCTATTGTCTGTGCCCCAAAGTTCTTAAGTAAAGTATACAGCCTTATGAGTGAGCATATATAACATGCCTGGAATTCTAACAGGTGCTGGGAATACAAGAGAATGAAGAACTCTTGGGAAGTGTGTCCATCCTGATACCATGACTCTTTCTTCTTCCTAAAGCAAGTAGTGAGGGTGCAGCACACAGGAAGACACCGAGGAATACTAATTATGGTGGGACCCTCAGATCTAACCTCCAGCTCTTTGGCTTTTCAGGGATTACTCAGCAGCACTGCAAGACCAGTGTCTGAATGCTTAACTGACTTGGCACTCTGTGGGGCAATGCCAAGGGAGGTGTTCTGTGTGAAGTGCTGACAAGTTTATTAAAATGGAAATTGTCTGTAGAAATTGCTTTACCTGCCATTATTTCTCCAGGGAAAGGAGAACTCAGAATCAAACACTGTAACATACTCACATGGCTGGCAAAGTTGGTATTTTCCTAAGGCATTGATTTCAGTGCAATTAATCCTTGCTACAAAGATAAGCAAGAAATCACTGAGTCCATTTCCCTAGGAAAAACAAAGAACTAAGTGAACGCTATGGTTTGGATAAATGTCCCCCAAACGCTGTGTTGAAAGTGTGGACCCCCCAGCTTTGGTGCTGTTGGGAGGTGGTGGAATCCAAGAGGCATGGCCTCGAGAGAGGAGGTCAAGCCATTGCGGGGGTGTCCTAGAGGGAGTACTGGGATCTTGACTCCCTCTTCTCTCTCTTTGCTCCCCAACTACTATGAGATGGACAGGCCTACTCTGCCACACTCCTGCCTCCATAGGCCCAAAGCAACAAGACCAATAGACCATGGACAGAAGCCTCTGGAACTATGAGCCAAAATAAGCCCTCTTCCTTTTAGGTTGCTTATATCAGGGATGTTCTTCCAGTCATGGAAGGCTGGCTAACACAGTCAATGTTTCAGGTAAAAACTATATTCCTACTCCAAATTAACACAGTCACTCTGATAGTTAGCATGCTTTACCAATTGATATGGCATAAAGATTGACAGCTCAGGCTTTGAAGTCATACAGACCTGTGCCAGATTCCTGTTTTGTCCTCTTAGCCACAGTATGACCATGGGAAGGTTACGGACCTCTGAAAGCTCCAGGTCCTGACCTGTAAAATGGAGGTGACAATCAGTAGCTTGCAGGTAATGTTACTGAGAAGTAATGTTAATAAAACACCAGAAAGGCTACCTCATGGAAAGTGCTCAATAAAGAGAGCTCAATAATAAATTATTATTTTATTATTGTTTTAAAAATACAAATTGAAAAAGCTGACTTAGCTGTTCTAAAATATAGAGCATATTTACAAGCTAGATGGGAAACAAATGAATCATACATAAAAAGGAAAAAACAAAACAAAATGATTCAATATTTTTCAGCATAATAGGATGTTAAACACAATCTTCCTGTTATCTCAGAATTTTGGCAGATGTCCCAAATGCTGAGAACATTAGTTTTCAGAACTATTCAGGACACGCTCCAAGATTGTGAAATCAATTTTGTGATCCTTAGTTAATTTTCCACCTCAGGAATTAAAAGAGGTGATCAATCTCTAGACCAGAGATTCTAGAGAGGCCAACATCCAGAATTCTCCAGAAAGGGCTGCCAGGTGCTATGCATTGAGCCCACCCAGCTGTGTGTGGAGGGGCTGGTGCTTCTCGTAGCACTCTGCAAACACCTGCCCCACCTTAGCCTATGCTGTTGCTGGAGGCAGGCATATCACCAGACTAACTACTGTGCCACTGCAGGCAATCCATTGTTCTTTCTCTCTGGAAGCTTTTATCATTTGTCTTTGACCTTTGAAGTCCTGAAGTTTCATTGGGATGTAACTTGGTGTGGATTTCACTTTTCCTGCTTGATATTTGGAGTGCACGTTCCACCTAAATGAAGATTTTTTTACTCTTTCAATATAGTTTTTCCATCATTCCCATTTTTATTGTTCTAGATTTCCTGTTAAACAAAAATTGCATCATCTCAATCTATCCTCCATTACTCTTTTTTCTGGTGTCTCTTTATGCTGTATTTTGGTGAAGGATTCAGCACTATTTCTCATCACCTGTAAATATCCCAAACAGTAACTGTCATTTCCTACCATTGGCACACCCTACTTTCCAATCTCTCCTGTCTTCCTCACTTCAGTGAATGGCATTATTACCAAGCAGAAATCCTGATTCCTTCTTCTCCCAGGCTCATCCTCTCCAGATCCTCCATACTATTACCAGAGCAATTCTAAGAGAATACAATTCTGATCATGTTAATCCCAGTCAGGAGAAGTAAGTGGAAATGTATTTGCCTTCAGAAACACAGCATAGAAGTCACTTAGGATGTGGTCCCTGCTTACCCATCAGCTTCATCTTTCTACCACTCCCCAGTCACTCCTCCTTACAGTTATTCATTCATTCAGTACACATTTTTAGTTAGTGAGTGCCTATAATGTGCTAATTAATCCTCTGGATGTTGGAATCCTTTGGTAAAGGAAGTAGGCCCAAACTCCTCTTAGTACTGAAGGTAGACAGTAAATAAAATGAATAAGTAAAATGTGTAGTGTGTCACAGGTAGCAAGTGCAAGGGTAACAATAAAACAAGGAGGGGAATAATAGGGGTGAAAGGCGGGTGTGGAACATAAATAAAATGACCAGAGAAGGCTTGACTAAGATGATGATGCCTGAGTGAAGACTAGAAAGAGTTGGGGGATTAACAGTAAAAATACTAAAGGAACAAGCACGAAAACAGAAGGGATATTAAATCCAAAGGGCTTGAGGTGGAAAAATACCTGACTTCTTCAAGAAAGATCAGGGGTATCAAAATGGCTAAGCAGATTTGGGAAAACAAGAAGTAGGAAATGAGGTCAGAGAAGTTTCCCAAGATGTTATCTACTGGGGCCTTGCAGGCCATTGTAAAGCATTTAGCTTTCACTCTAAGGCAAGGCACTCTGGGAGGGTATTAGGCACATTCTAATCCCTGACTGAAGAGGGTCATTCTCTAGTCTGATACGGTGGCTCATGCCTGTAATCCCAGCACTCTGTAAGGCTAAAGCAGGAGGATTGCAAGTGTAAAAATCTCATCTTGAGATGAAAATAACTTGGACAATCAAATTCCAGATATATATTTTGAAAGAGTTAAACAAAAAGTTTGTGCTAATTATGGATTTAAGCCCTGGAGATTCGAGGGACTAAGCAGACAAAAATCCTACCAGGATTGACTGAAAGGAAGGGTTAGAGGCATGAAAGAAAAAGATTGGGCAAAGATGAGTCAGGATTCTGGCTTAAGAAACTTAAAAGGATGGAATTACCATTAACTTGATGGAGAAGAGCAAGAAAGCAGGATTGGGAGGTAAAAAGGGAGGATCAATTTCAGAACGTGAAGACTTCGATGTCTATTAGATCTCCTCATGGAGATGTCAAATGAGTATCAGATACGTTAGTCTGGAGTGCAGAGCAGAGACCTTGGGCAGAAATACATGCTTGGGAATGTCAAGTACATAAGTAGCACTCAAAGCCCTGAGAGGAGATGAGGCCAGGACTGAAAGGAATGTCAAGAGAAATGAGAAGCAATGCAAAGCAGTAAATCCTGGACTACTAATTACCAGAGAAAGTAGGAGGAACTGACAAAGGAGACTGAAGAGTAGCCAGAAGGAACAGGGGCACCAGGAATGCGGCATCCTAGAAGTCACAGCAGACAGTGTTTCAAAGAGAAGAGTGATCACTCTGTTGAAGGCTACATGAGGACTGAGAACTGGCCACAAAGACATGGAGGTCATTGGTGACCTTGATGAACAAATATTTGGAGGACTTGTAGGGAAAAAAGACTTACTATAGTGTATTCACAATAACTGAATTTATAGGCTCATGTTCATAGCAGTACTATTCATACTACTACTAGTTCATGGCTAGAATGTGGTAGTAATCTAATGTCCATTAACCGATGAATGGATAAGCAAAATGTCGTACATGCATACAATGGAGTATTATTCAGCATTAAAAAGGAAAGAAATTGTGATATATGGTACAACATGGATGAACCCTGAGGATATTACACTAAATGAAATTAGCCAGTCACAAGTAGACAAATATTGTATTATTCTTTTATATTTGAGTAGTCAAAAGTATACGAAAGTAGAACGGTGGTCACTAGGGGTAAGGGAAGAGAGGAGTGGGGAATTACGTTTAACAGGCACAGAATTTCAGTTTTATAAGATGAAAGAGTTACAGCAATGGATGCTGATGAAGGCTGCACGGCACTGTGAATGTGTCTAATGCCACTGAACAGTACTCTTAAAAATGGGGGCCCGGGGATTTAGCTCAGTGGTTTCACCACCTGCTGTGCAAGCAAAAGAACCGGAGTTCGATCCTGGGTTAAAAAAAAAAAAAAAAAAAAGGGAAAGATGGAAAATTTTATGTGAGGTGTATTACATCACAATTTTTAAAAATGGGAAGGGGGGCGGGGATTTAGCTCAGTGGTTTCGCCACCTGCTGCGCAAGCGCAAGGACCCGAGTTCAATCCCTGGTACAAAAAAAAAAAAATGGGAAGGGGGAGAACTAGAGACATTGAGTATGGATGACTCCTTAAAAGAGTTTTTTAAAAAAAGTTTTATTATGGGAAGCAAAGAAGGAAGACAATAGCTGGAGAAAGAAAGTGCTTTCAGAAAGTGGATTTTTTGTTGTTGTTCAAAATATAGTATATTAGTGTTCTATTGCTGGTAAAAGAAATTAACAAAAACATACTGATTTAAAACAGTACACCTCGATTATCTTACAGTTCTGTAGGTGAGAAGTCCAACACAGGCCTCACTGGCCTAAATTCAAGATGTCAAGAAGACTGTGTTCCTTTCTGGAGGCGCCAGTGGAGAATCAGTATTCATGCCTTTCCCAGCTTCTGGAGGGCACCTGCTCCAGTCCTTGGCTCCTGGCTGCCTTCCTCCATCTTGCAAGCCAGAAACACTGCCTCTCTCTGACCACTCTTTCTCGTTTCTTCTGCCTCCTTTTGCTTTGAAGACCCCTTGTTGATGGCATTGCGCTCAACTGGGATAACACAGGATAATCCAGCTGATAAGGTCAGCTCAGCAGCAATCTAATTCCATCTTCTGCCTTAATCTCCCTTTGCTATATAACCTAACATGTTTACCGGTTCTGGGAATTAGGACATGGATATCTTTAGTAGAGGACAATTCTGCCTTCCACATATGGCATGCATTCCAACATCATTGTTGATGGGAATAATCCAATGGAAAGAGAGAACCTAATGATGCAGGAGAGGGAAGTTATTGTGTGACATGATCAAGATGATGGAGAAAATGGCTTTTTGTAGAAGCAAGGAGAATTGCCCTTTAGTTAATAGGAAAAGCAGGAGAGGACATCATCTGGGGACAGATGTTGGATGGTGGATAAATGTGATGGGAGCTTGTGTAGTTATTATTTTCTCAGTGACTTAGAAGCAAGGCCATCAGTTGAGAGTGAGGATGGGGTAGGAGGTATTAGAGATGTGAGATGACAGAAGGCATAAATTTGACATCTAAGAGAAAGGCAACATGAAATGTCATGACCATCAAGGGGCCTACTTGAAGTCTGTGATCACTGAAATGTGACCAATCTGCTTGTTTCCTCCAGTCAAGTAGACAAATAATTGTACATAAATTAGTCAGGGGGACTGGGGATGTAGCTCAGTGGCGCTGTGCCTGCCTTATAAGCGCAAAGTCCTGAGTTTGATCCCCGGTACTAAAAAATAAAATAAATTAGTCAGGGTAGGCAAACTGCTCTGCAAACTCCAAATTTCAGAGTTCAATACAACCAAAGTTGATTTTGTACTAAGGAATTTAAATGAATTGTCTCCCTTAATCTTCACAAGCCAGAATAAAGTAGGTTCTATTATTTTGCCCTTTTTTAGATGAAGAACAAAAGGGTTGCCTAACATTAAACTATAATTTTTGTTTTAGGTATTATAGTAGTTTTATTTGGGGATTAAATATATTTGCATCATAAAGTTAATTTAGTAAAAAGTAGCTTGATCACTACATGCATTCATTAATAAACTGTCACTAGTATCAGCTATGTTAGGCTATGTACTTCAAAACAGCTTATGATATTAGGAATTTTTTTTTTTTTTTTTGTACCGGGAATCAAACTCAGGTCTATGCGTTTGCAAGGGGGCAAAACCACTGAGCTAAATCCCCAGGCCCTAAGGAATTTTTTTAACGATTGGTGTAGTGTTTCTTTAATTATGAGGGTCAGGTGACTCATTAGCCAGGCAATCATCCTTTTTTTTGTTTGTTTTATTTTCTCTCTTGAATCTTTGGTATTTTAATTTTTCTAAGCATTTATCTATTTAACTTATTTTTTCAAATTTACTAGTATGAAAGCTGGGGATATAGCACAATGATAGACTGCTTGCTGAGCATGGACAAGGCCCTGGGTTTGATCACCTCAAAAAAACTTACCACTACAGAAATAGTATTTTTACCCCAAAAAAGTATATTTATCCAAATATCCTTCACTCAGTTCAACATTTATTTTATCTTATTATTTCTGAATTTTAAAATAACTGATTAAATTTTTCAAACCAGCAACACATTTTTTAAAAAAACCTTCAACACTGCCTCACAGGCGCAAGGTCCCGAGTTTGATCCCCAGTACCAAAACAAACAAACAAACAAACAAAAAAACCCTGCAACACCACACCTGGCTTTTAGCAATTTTTTATGTAGAATTTTCTATACCCCTTTAATATACTAATTGTTCTCTTGGTGCTCTAAAATTCATTTTCATACAGATTTCATGAAACACCCTTATTCATTTAAAAGAAAGTAGCTCTTTCTACGGTTTTCCTGGATTAATAGATTAATGCTAACTGTTAAAAAATCATACATATTTCACATATAAATAATTAGAATTCCTTTTTTTTTTGGAATTCCATTTTTGTTAGGAAAATCAGCATGTAAGCCATGATTCTCAAAATTCAGCAGTTTCTTACAGGCAATAAAAATTGTAAGTGTTCAATATAAAATCATTGATTTAGGTCGTAAATATCAAGGATCAATTCCCTATGCTTCCTTGCTGTTGTCTGGGTAAGAAGTCTCCTTCCTTTGGACCAAAAGAAAGCATGTTATGGTAAAATAAAATATAGACTTTCCCTTGGGACATGACTAGTTATTTGCACTTGAGCAAGTAGTCAGTTACTGAATATCTGTTGGCACCCATAGATTAGACATTATATTAGGAGGGATATACCTTCCCCTCCTTTCTAGCCTATTCCTGGACAGAGGCATAAGTTATAATCCTCCTTCTCCTATTGCCATTTGGGTAAATGGTGTACATCACTGAAGTATTTTAAGCCTCAATTACCTGTGAGATGCAAGTAGTAATGCCTACCTCACAGGGTGGTTATAAGAATTAATGTTAGAAATCCATATGTAAAATACCTAGAACATAACAGGCAAATACAACTGTTAATTCCTTTTCTTTCTCCCTTTAGATCCAATCTCACAAAAATAAATGCCATACCTTGAAGTAGGAGCAATATATAGCATCCTTTTAGTATTTATAGCACATCCAAATTATCGATTTCTATAAATACGAAGTCTCCAAATTATTAGCATGTGGTTTTCTCAATCTTAGCACCTGACATTTTGGGCTGAACAATGCTCTGCCATTTGGGGCTGTCCTGTGCATAACAGGACTTTAAGCAGTATCTTTGGCTCCCTCACCGCACCCCAGATACTGGTAGCAGCACTCCGGATGCAAACATCCAAAATGTCTCCAGACAGCAACAACTGTTCCTCTAGGGTAAAAAGCTACTCCTTGCCACCCTGGGGAGAATCAGAGCATTAGTGGATCACAAACTCACATTTAGTGGGTCTTAAGCATTTAATAAAACAAAATTAAAAGGCATCAGATTCACGATAGACTGAATTGTATCCCCTCCTCCAATTCAAATGCAGGTCTGACCTCCAATGTGACTGTATTTGGAGGTGGGTTCTTTAGGAGATAATTAAGGTTAAAAGAGTTTCTCCTCTCACAGCATGGTGTCCTTATACGAGGAAGAGAGAAATAGCTTTCTCTCTGTGCCATGTAAAGACAAGGCAAGGTGGCTTTCAACAAACCAGAAAGAGTGCCCTCACCAGGAACCAAATCAGTAGGCACCTTGATCTGTGACTTTATGCCGTGTGATCTTGGACTATGATTTCTGTTGCTTATGCTGCCCAGTTTGCACTTTTTTTTTGCATGCCCCAAGCTAATACACAACTTTCTTTCTATAGAATAGGAATCTTAGGAAGCATCACAGATCACTAGGTATTACTTAATGATATAAATCTCTTACTACAAGTTTTGGTCAAAAGTTTGAAAAGACATCCCAGTACTCCGGGCAGCAGAAGGAGGAGGAACACAAGTTTGAGCCCAGCCTGGTCAGTTTAGTGGCTTAGCAAGACTTTGTCTTAAAATAGAAAATAAAGGGCCGGGGATTTAGCTCAGTGGTTTCGGCGCCTGCCTTGAAAGTGCAAGGTCCCAAGTTCGATCCCCAGTACCAAAAAACAAACAAACAACAAAACAGAAAATAAACAATGGGGTGGCAATGTATTTCAGTGAGGAGCCTGGGTTCAATCCTCAGCACCACGGAAAAGAGAAAAGGTAGGTGTGGAGATTCTCCTGAGATTTTTCAAAGATCTGTACAGTCCAAAATGGCAGCATGGGGAAAAGTAGAGCCTTTGGTGGTTTCCAGTCATCAATATTTAATATCAAAATATTAGATGGAATATTAAAATTTTTCCACATTGGCTTGCTCACCTTGGTATATCCATAGCCATCAATGAAATGAATAAATGAATGAACACAGACTACACCATTTCTGGCAAGTTTCAATCAGCTGTGCCTCTGATCACCTACAGTACCACACACTGGAATGCTTCTCTCCCATTCCGAACTCACTTCAGTAAGCCCCCACAGAACATCTTACACAAGGCCTCCACCAGGCTTACTTCCTCCTGTTATCTGTTCTACATGTTTTCTGACGCCCCTTGTAACTCCACACCCTTTCTACTACACTCCCCAATCCCATCCCAGAGGTGACATCTGTTCAATTTGAACAAACCGAAGCTACAGCTCCCACGATAGTGCTTTAGGCAATGTAATTGCTGTTCAGTACCTGTTCAATGGTTGAGTGGAGGAAAACACTAAAAAAGCAAACAAATGCTGCTTTCAAGCTGAGGGAAAAACAATTTCCTTACTACGGTCAAAACTAATGGGATTTTTTTTCTGAAGGAGAGCACGTGAGTGGGAGGCTCCTGCTCCCATGGTGGCAGGCCACCACCCTGTGGAACCATTGTGCATTGCAGGCGCACCACTGTCCCAAAGCCAAACTCCAAGAACAAAGGCAGGCCCTACTCCTCAGGCCCCCTGGAGTTCGTGCTGACCCTGCCTGCCACCTATCTGTGTATGTCCTCAATTTCCCAGACAAGAGTCACTTTGGACCACTGCTGAACCCATGGCTTCCCAGGACCTTCCCTTAAAAATGCTGTTAGTGCGTTGGAGATAAACCACTCGATTATTTGTATTTTTATCAAGTACCCCAAGTGACTCTTACTGTGGAAGTCTGGGAAACCAACCACCTTCGTTTCAGTTCTAGAGAACCCGGGTATTTTTTCCCAGTGACTTCACCTCCAGGCTAACTTGGGAATGTTACTGGTAATGGGTGGAATGCTACTGAGTCCTTGGGTACAGCTGGACCTGAGCAGACCGGTCCCAGGCGCAGTGCTGGAGAACTTCTGAGGGTAGGGGTGGCCCTCGCTGGGCTGGCAGATGAGGTCTGGGCGAGGTGACTCAGCGAGGGCAGACCCAACGGGCTTTCTCTTCCTTTTCTGAGAGCCGTGGCTAGAAGCCGCTCTGGGCGGGGTGAGCCCAGAAAACGCAGGCCCGGCTTTTCATTCCTATTTTCACCAAGTCGCAGCCCGCGCCGCAGAGAGTGGTGGGCCAGAGTCACTTGTTTTCCTCTGGTTCTTCTGAGTTTGTCAGGGACAAAGAGCCTCTGGTAGGAACATCTGTAAACTTTTTGAAGAAAATGTTTCAGCCACTCACGACCTTATGAAGTCTTACTGGACCAAAATGATGGCGCTTGGCTAAGGCCCTTAGGACCTCACCGAACCCCGTCAGCGTGGGAAGCAGCTGGACTCCTTACAAAGCTCACTTCACACAGGGCACGCAGTGCAGATACTGCGCGTGCTCGCATGGGTCCCCGCGCAGGCGCACTACTTCGTGGCAGTACGGCTCCCGGGGCGAGGCGAGCACCAGTCACGTGGGTCGGGCGTCCCTCTCCGCGATTTCCTTACAAGGACTTGAGCTACGAGGCCCCGCCCTTCGCCGGGCTCTGGAATGTGCTCAGAGGCAAAAACCGTAGGACAGACGCAACCATCTGCGAAAGGAAGGGGGGGGAAGGAGACTTAAAGTGCAAGAAGCTATGTAAAAAAGAGGGAGACTCAGTAATCAAACATAAAGAACTGCTACGCATTCCGTCATGTTATGTTCGGTCGGTTTATACCCTTATCTTGAGCACTCCTTCAGTATTGCCCTCTGACCACTGGCAGTCCCCCCCCATTGCTCGCCCATGAAGCTTACCCACTCTGCTGGCTCACCGTGGGGACGGGGGTTCCTTCCGCTGGGTTAAGCGTGGCCGGAAGTGTCGGGGTTTTGTGGCTCTAAGAGTAAAGGAGTGGAGGTAGCGGCATCGCGGGACTTGCCGAGGTGCTCTGGTTCTCGAAGCTGCGCAGGGTGAGTGGTAGTCGCGGTCGCCTTCCCGGGTACCCGTGTCTGCAGGGCGGGGGGCGCCCCTGGGCAGGTGTCAAGCCGGAGCCCCGGTTCTGAGTCCTGGGTCAGCCGTGAGATCGAAGGCTGCGGCCACAGGTACCCACACGCACACTTGACTGCTGTGTCCGAAGTGGGAGCTCGGAAAATGTAGCTTAGCTCCCTGGCGCCGTAATCTTGGGCGACTGCCGGGCCCGCGAAACCCGAGCCCCCCAGAGCTGACTCCGGGGCTAAGTTTAGTTTCTAACGTAAACTTGTCCGATTCCAGGGAGTTTGCGCCTAAACCGGAACCCAGCGACTCCCCATCCTCCGGCTGCAGCTGTTGCAGCTGTGCGACTTCTTTACGTAGCAATAACCAACTCTCACTGGAGCTTGGGATCCGCTCCTGGAACTAGGACTTTTTTGTTTAAGTGATATTTGAACAAAGAGGAATGTGGGGTTTAGTTTGTGGCTGGAGGGAAAATTCCAAAATAAAATACCATTTTCCTTTTGGGTGGAGACTGAGTGAAATCAGTTTGCGAGAGAAGAGTTTCCTTTTAATGTAGTTTAGTAGCTTCATAAAAACATGTCAGTTCTTAGAAACCTTTAGAACAGAAATGGGGTAAGATTTAAAGTTTTAAATGCAGAGTTTTATATCTAAAGGTGAAGAAAGCGAGTGTTTATTAAAATTGCTGGTGTTTGCTTTGTGCTCTGGGAGGCGTTTGAGAAGTTAACCAGGAAAGGATTTTACTTTCAGAAACGCAGCTTTATTGTCAAGTCAACCCTGACAGCTGTCTTTGTCAAGTGGGTGAGAATTTTGGGGTGTGGCACTGTAAGAGAACTAATCCGACTTTAACCGAAAACTTGCAAAAAAAAAGGAAAAAGAAAGATTAATTGAACCGGAAGCCCCAACTTGAAAAAAAAATTTTTTTTAAACTGTATGTTAACACAAAAATCTCTAAGCTTGAAAAAGTATGCACTGATTAAATGAGAAGTAGATTTGATCTAGATTTAGAAAGCAAAATAAAGAGGTACTAGCACACCTTGGAGTTCTAGGGTGGGAGTTTTTCATCAAGGATACATCTTATTGCCCAGTAAATTCTCAATTTAAGTGTTCTGTAGAAAAAGTTTCTAGCTTATTTTCCATTTGTAACCATTTTATAAATGCTGGACTCTAGTATTTTAGTTAAAGCAATCTAACGTGTAGTATGGATTGGTTCCATTTTATAGATTTTGGAGAATCTCTTAAGTAGCACAGTTCCTAGACATTCTGGGATTTCTCCATTTTAGAAATCTTGTGGTTGCCCATGGCAAGTGGGGAAACCTGCTTTGGTGATCTATGCCTTCTATTCCATATCTTGATCTAGTGTAACATCTTCCTGAAGCATGCTTCTTACCCTCCTTTTGTTTTGGCTTTTAATGATTCTCTTCATAGAGCTCTTTCAACACACACACACACACACACACACACACACACAAATACACAAATTTATTGGGACTAGCACTCCCCACCCTGACTTAAAATGTAGTCATGCTCCTTTCTGTCTGTAAACTGAATATTCTTGATCTCCCTTTATTTTCTCATGGATCTGAAATCCTCAGGTATCATTTAGAGGCTGCTCTGCAAAATCTCCTGCTTTTGAAGTTTCATGCAACAAATAAGCCCTGCACACCAAAGATCTTTGATTAAATGTTTCCAAAATGAAGACTCCACTTTACAAGTGAGGATCCTCCTAATTTGGCAATCTCAGGTGCTAACCTGGTGGTCTTTTCACCCATCCTAAATAAAGAATACATAGGCTCATGTGTGAGATAGTTTCAATTTTATTTTGCTCTGACTTTTTAAACTGACAAAAGAATTGCAGCTTGTTACATGAAGATTTACAGCCACATTTGTTTGGGGGGTAGTGAAATGGGTAGGGAACAATCTGGTTTGATTCTCTCCGCCCATGTTTATTTCATCCATACTTTTAGCTTGGTGGGAAAAAAAATGAATGACAGTTCCTTATTTTGGAACAACTGACTGTGATGCTGAACTACTCTTGCTCCAAGGCTCCAAGCTTCTGTTGGAGATAAATCAAGAATCGGAATCCAGTCTCCTTGAAAAAGTCAAGGCCCAGATAGTGACTCGCCCAGCATTACACTATCAGAGTTTGGTAGAATTAACTACCTTAATCGTTAGAATTATGGCTAACATCCCAATCTCTTCACTCTGAAGATACTTAGCTTCCAAATGATACTGCACAGGGTTTTTCAAAGTACCTTGCTCCTGAATATTTTAGAAATACTGTACACAGAATCTTTACTGAGCTCATAACATTTGCTAATCGCATGCCACTTTATCAGTTATTTTTCATTATTGTCACATACTTTTAACTGGAGTCAACCCTCTGGAATGAAAATTATGTGATTCATTTCATAAGTTGAACCAATCATTGCATTTCTTTCTTTTTTTTTTTTTAAAGAAGCATGGAGAATGTTTATTATGCAGGGATTTTAGTACACACTTAAGGGTAGAGTGGAAGCCCTTAAGAGAGTGGCACTATAGTTTGGAATTGGGAATATATATGTGCTTTTGGTGGTGGAAAGCTGTGGGATTTGACAATCTGTAGTGTAGGTCTTGATTTTGTGGGTGAGGGAGGATGGTCTACCCTCAGTGTAATAATGTCAATTCATAGGGCAAAGCCTAAATCACAGGTTGAAAGGTGGTGTGTTCATAGATGAAAGATGACCATTTGCTAATAAAAAACAGCTGAACCCATTTGTAGGTGAAAGGGAATTGGTCAGGCTTACTGTGTTCTGGGAGAAGAAAACAATTTAAACTAGGCTAGTGTCCAGCAGTTTTCACTTTTAAAATTATGATTTTTCTTTCTCCTGTTTGCCTGTCTTAATTCTTCTACCCTATCCCCTCAAATTGGATTCCTTATCTGCAAGGAGTATGGAAGAACTGAGCGTCTGTCTTCTCTAACTGTTTCAGGCTGGGTAGGAGTGCTGATCAAAATTCTCGCCCTGATTGATCTAAAGAAGACAAAGATGGGTTTTGTTTGGTGAACCATCCACTTTTGATAGTCTGAAAGTACATTACAGTAACACAGTGGAGATATACTGAGTGGCTAATGACCATGGAGGGTTGTACATCATGCCGTGCTATGCCATGCTGTAATGTCCAGGGGTGGACAGCATATCACTGCTCTGCCGTGTCATGCCACTGCTTGGCTGGAACACAGCTTCTAGTGATCCTAAATCCAGCATCTGTAAAGAACTCCGGAGGCAGGCGGCGGAACCACTGAGCTAAATCCCCGGCCCTGTAAAGAACTCCGACCAGTAATCTTGGTGGAAGTCCTCCAAAATGATATAGGGGGAAGAGATGTAACTCCCAAACCTACTAGATACCCAAAACGCAAGTTCATGTTCTCTAAAATCGAAGAATGAATTCTAGGAACAACAGAGGATAAGAATAGAAAAAATTTATTGGGAGAAAGAAAGCCTCTGCCTAAGAGAGACAGAAGGGAGACCAGAAAGTGGGTTGCACAATCATTGCATTCTTTACAGTCCCCCCCCCATCTATGTTTTAAGGTCCTGTAAGATAGGACACGTGTGTTACATAGCTTAACCTTAACTAGTGGTCAACACTAATGACATTTGATATACATTAATATAATTAACTGATCATAATAAGGTTGATATGGTTGAGTATTGAACGATCTAAAGTTCTGTGTGAGACTGTTGCCTGTGCTGACCAAAAACAAACAAAGAACAACAACAAACCTTTTGAATTACTGTACTATGCATTTAAAGATTGAAAAAAATACATGATTGGGGGCAGGGATGTAGCTTGCCTAGCTTGTGCAAGGTCCTGGGTTCAGTCCCCAATGCTGCCTTGCTCCTTCCCCAAAAAAGCATGATTAAAAGACTAGAAAATACACCAGAATTTTAATATACATCTATATATATCTTTAAAACCCAAATTAAGCATTTTTAAAAGGTATCTTTTGGGACCTCCACCCCCACTAAATTGAGTTGCATGAAATTTTGTGTTAAAAAATCATTTACCAGGGCCAGGAATTTAGCTCAGTGGCACCATGCTTGCTTCGCAAGTGCAAGGTTCTGAGTTCAATCCCTGGAACAGAAAAAAAAAAAAAAATTAGTTACCAGTCATTTGACCTGTCATTCTCATCAGTTTCTTTGTTCTTAAAATAACTGACATTTCTACATCCTAGGGGAAGACAGTGTTGGCATATAGAACAGACTATTTTTAAAGATGAGCTTTGGCTTGCAAGGGGATTTAGCTCAGTGGTTCTGCCACCTGCCTCGCAAGCGGAAGGTCCTGAGTTCGATCCCTGGTACCAAAAAAAATATATATTAAAGGGATAGGGACTGGGAAATAATGTGCCCTTCGTTGGGTCATCACTTCTCTCGCCAAGTCTTTGAGTACATTTAAGAGAGAAGAATAGAAAATCAGACCCCCCAAATTCAAAGACCCAATTCAAAAAAGGGCATCTGAAATGAACAGACATTTCTCAGACAAAGAAGTAAAAGCAGCAAATAAATACATGAAACAATGTTCAATATCACTGGTCATTCGAGAGATGCAGATGAAAACAGCACTGAGATTCCACCTCACCCCAGAAAGAATGGCTGGTATCAAGAAATCAACCAATAACAAATGCTGGCGGGGTTGTGGGGAGAAAGGAACCCTTCTCCATTGTTGGTGGGAGTGCAGACTGGTGCAAGCACTGTGGAAATCAGTATGGAGATACCTCAAAGAACAAGGGCTAGAGGCCCCATTTGACCCAGCTATTCCCCTGCTGGGTATCTTCCCCAAAGAATTAAAAGAATCATACCACAGCGATATATGTGCACCCATGTTTATAGCGGTAGAGTTCGTAATAGCTAAAGCTTGGAAACAGCCCAAGTGTCCATCAACTGGAAACTAGATAAAGAAGATGTGGTTTTTTTAATAAAATGGAGTACTACTCAGCCATAAAGAACAAGAAACTAGAGACATTTATAGCTAAATGGATGCATATTGAGGCCATACTCTTAAGTGAAATAAATAGGACACACATGTGTAAATACCGAATAGTTTCTCTAGTGTGAGAAACTGAAAGTGTAAATAAGGATGAAAATGATTAAAATGAATAATTGATAATTTGAAATATTAAAGGGTCCAAAGGTGTAGGAGTAGTCAGAGGGAAAGGGGAAAGGAAAAATTATGAGAAAAGAAAAAAATGGAAACAAAATCTATGTAAATAGGAAAGGGTGGAGGGGGTGAAGGCCCCACAGGTAATGGGGAAAAAAATAAGAACCAAGATTCATCATGTACAGGTACAAGCACCCAGTGATAAATATAAACATATTGTATACCTAAAATGTACCAATAAAAGAATTTAAAAGAAAGAAAGAGAGAGAATAGTATACCCCATAGCACTTTGTGCTTTTGTTAAACAACATTTCACATAGAGAGGGAACATACAACATGATACCATTTAATTAGATATATAGCCTACAGAAGATATTCCAGAATGAAAGGCATTCATGAGTGGCCTAGGTAGGTCATAAAAAGCAACCTCTGAAAGAATGATTAAAGGAAACAAATTCAGGAGTATATAATTTGTGTCACATATGGTATATTTTTTCAATAACATCCCAGTGTGTGGCCAGAGAGTTTTCTTGGATAGACTAGAATTTGTGACTGCCCTTTCTGGAATTTCGTACTAAAATCTGAAAACAGATATAGCTAAAAATAATACAAGTGAAGCTCTTCTAACTATTTCTGTAATTTTATTTAGACTGGATGATGTGGTCTAGTCAAGGAATGTAAGAAACCACTTTTAACATTATATTCTGAGGGTCACTTTGAGTGTTGGGATCTAGGTAGCAGTTCATTGTTTGCGGTCCACAGACTTATTTTTAGAGCAAGGGCATAGTGTTTGGCCGCATCATAGCTAAATGTTTTTTTCAGAACGTAAGCTTTAAAATTGTTATCCTGGTCAGAGAGTGAAATCAGTAGTGCCTGTTTTAGACCTGCTTGGAAGAATATAACTCAATACAGTGTCTTACCCTGTGGATCAGAGGTTTGCAGACTCTCATCTCTACCTCAACTCTGAAGGATGGTATGGTAGATTTTATTATCTCATAACTATTGGATTTTAAGCTTCAAACAAAATGTTATATAATATTTTAAAAAATAAATGTTAAAAGGAAAATTGCCTTTTCTTTTTATGTATTCTTAGACATTCTTTTTACTATTAACTTAAAATGTATAAATGATAAATATATAAATGATAAATGTAAAACAATATATATGAAAATAAAACTAGTTCCTGTGTCTCTTTAAAATGCTCTCTAAAGGTTTTTAAACTAAGTTGTTTCAAAAAAGTGTACTCTGATTTGTTTAGAGGAATCAGTGACATCAAGTGGTTTAATGTGGCTCTAGTACAAGAAACTGATTTGGACAGAGTGCGTTGCCTGCCAAACTTAATTATAGATGAACTGGCCTCAGGTGTCTGTACTTTTCCATTAGCCTTTCAATATGATGTGTCTTGGATGACTTTGAACATAAAAGTGAGGGTATGGCACGGATGGTTAGTTGAACGTGGAAGAGCAATGTTTGTTGGTAGACTGGAAGAGAAGACCTATTTGTCAGTGTCTTCCTCCTTCCTCACCCGTCCACCATGTACTAGGACAGCTGGCTCAGGCAGGAGCTCGGAAGGTGGCCAGTGAGGACGAGTGAGTTTTCTGAGCTCCCCATGGTGCTGACCTGTAGCCTCCCAGGTACCTGAGTTGGATTCTTGATTTTTCATTGTTATTAACCCAGTCAGTGGGTTTGGTTATCACCCATCAAGCAACTGTTGTACAACAGGATGAGGGTTGTATGATCTTACTTATATGCTGTGAGCTTTGAATTTGAATGCTCTGAGCTTTGTTGTAGGTTGTAATTTGAAATTAGCCATGGGCTGTGTATAAAAATTCATAATTTTGGGCCGGGGATTTAGCTCAGTGGTTTCGCCGCTTGCTGCACAAGTGCAAGGACCTGAGTTCGATCCCCGGTACCAAAAAAAAAAAAATCAAACTTTTTAAGACTTGAGTGAGCTCAAAATAGAAGTTTGATTTTTCCCTTTTAGCTTGGTCCTTTGAGTAATTTTTTCCATTAGTTGAGAGATTTTTACAAAGCGGTATTATCCTGTTTGAAGACATTTTTTAAAATGCTCTTAAAATAGCTCAAACATATCATGATACTGATTCAATTTACTTTTGTTAATCATTGCTTTCATTCAAACTTAAACGTAGATACTGATTTTATCTTCCTTGGGTTCCCTTTCTTTTTCAGGATTCAACCGGCACCATGTCGAGCAAAAGGGCGAAGACCAAGACCACGAAGAAGCGGCCTCAGCGCGCCACGTCCAACGTGTTCGCCATGTTCGACCAGTCGCAGATCCAGGAGTTCAAGGAGGCCTTCAACATGATCGACCAGAACCGAGATGGCTTCATCGACAAGGAGGACCTGCACGACATGCTGGCCTCGCTGGGTAACGTGCAGTTCTAGTATGAATGTACTGGGTGACGTTTCCACGATGACTTTCGTGGTTATTTCATGAGTCTGAAAGCCCTGAGGAGCCCAAGTAAGGCATCTGTTAACTTTCAGATGAAGTGTGGAACAGGATTTCCCACTGGGACACAGCAGATCCCTGTACCTGTCTCCGTGTGTGTCTTGGTATTGAGCTGTGTGTGTGTGTGTGCGCATTCATTATGAAAGCAGTAATACTCCTGCTAACATCCCAATGGAATTTCATGCTGTCTCCAGACTTTTAATATAGGCTCTATTCGTTCAGAAGACCTTTTTCCCAAATAGTTTTGCCATCATGGGAAACTATACAAATGATCATTTAGCTCAGTGGTTCCACTGCCTGCCTTGCAAACACAAGGACCCGAGTTTGATCCCTGGTACCAAAAAATAAAATAAAATAAATGATCATCATCTCCCTTGATAAAATGTTCACAGGGATTAATAGTTGTTAAGTTAAAGTTAGGACCCTCTTTTTTGTTTAGGGAAAAACCCAACTGATGAATACCTGGACGCCATGATGAACGAAGCCCCGGGCCCCATCAACTTCACCATGTTCCTCACCATGTTTGGCGAGAAGCTCAACGGCACAGACCCCGAGGACGTGATCAGGAACGCCTTCGCCTGCTTTGACGAGGAGGCCACAGGTGAGTCAGAGGTAACCTCTACTTACAGAGTGAGTTCCATTTTAGTCCGGGCCACTCAAATACACAATCTTGTAAGGTGTGCTAATGTGACGCCCTCAGGTTTACACTACTCCTGCCCGCTTCCTTGGATGGGATTCTCTCTGGCCTGGTCATTCACATCGATGCCTCTGCCCATAAATATTAGTAGTTTACAAAATTTCATAGGCTCTCACTAAGTGTGTTGAGTCAGCTGTGGTGGTGCACTTTGATCCCAGCACTCAGGAGGCTGAGGAGGAGGATCGCCTTAAGTGCAGCCTGGGCTAAATAGTGAGTTCAAGGTCGGCCTGAGCTACATAGCGAGACTGTCTCGAAAAAAAAACCCACACATGTGTTAAATGAAGAGCTTTTACCAGAGTCAGCTTGGCCAGAGTGTAAATTGCCATCAACTGGCAGCAGTACTGTTCTAGGTTTGCTTACCAGGTATCTGTCCACCCTACAGTTGTTTAAATCTGCTGTCTGACCTCTATTTTGAAGTAAACCAAGCAGGCTGCAGGCTCTGGAATCGAGGCTTCCTGCTTTCAGATTCCCTTCTGCTGCCTAATAGTGTGTAATTTGGGGCTTCATCTGTGAAACAGGTGTAATACAGTCTACCTCAGGGTTTTGTGCAGATGAAACAGGAACCTAGGATAAGGTCTAAAGGCTTAGCACACTCCTTGGCATTGAGTTAATGCCCCCCAAAACAAAATGTTAACTGCATAAATACCCAATCCTTTGGCAGAAGTATAAATAAGAGAAAATCTACAAGGGAATGATTTCCAAGGCTCTCAGTTCACACAATGTAGCCAGGTGTCTTTAGAAAAGGAAGGCCTGACCCTGCCTACCTGCGTCACTTGGACCAGTTTTGGTACTGGGGGTGTTGGAGCCTTGGATGTCAGCCTGGACGCCCGGCAGAGCTGCATCTGAATTTAGTGCACCGCTCTCGGCCCTCTGGTCGGTCATCTCCTCAGCTTCTTCCAGGCACCGCCACCACTGCTGCGCTGACTGACTTTGGCCAGTCTTTGCTCCGTGCCTTACTATCCCACCTCCTCTGTCCCCTCTTACACTCAAAACCCCCCGTCGTTTCCGGGAGGAGTCAGTGGAAGATGTACAGAAGAGACTTCTTTTCCTCTTCCTCCTCTAAAGACACTTGTGTATTGCTTGCATGTTTTGTTTTGTTTTGTTTTTTTGGTACCAGGGATTGAACGCGGGTCTTTGCGCTTGCGCAGCAGGTGGCGAAACCACTGAGCTACATCCCTGGCCTTGCTTGCATGTTTTACTGTGAGCCAGTGTTAACTTTTTAAATGAAAGAGAATAAACTACAAAAGTATAAGCAGCCTTTTCTGTTGTTCATACTCAGTCACCCTTTGTGGAGCCTTGTCTGTGATTTACTCCTTTCTCCTGCCCATTCTTTTTGCGTACCCAGTGTTTCATTTGTATCCCTCTGCATATACACAGTCTGACTTGATGTTTTCGTTGTATGCGTGTTTCCAGGTACCGAGACTCCTTCCCACCCCGATGGCCACTGTGCTAAGTAGCATTTAGTTTCTCATCTTTGGAACCTTTCTGGCACCCACCACCGTCCCTTGCACATGGTAGATAGTCTTTGTAACAGTTGAGTGACTTGCCTGGAAAAGCAAGAAAAACTAATACCAGATAATAAATCAGAGGTGATACTCAGGCTTCCGTTTCTATGTTTATAAATACTTACATTTATTCTTTTAGGCAAGCAGGATTTATGAGAACCTCTGTATGGAAAACCCAGGGTAAAAAGACACTTTGTGGCTCACTGCTGCACATTCCTCTGCCTAGCACAGTGTCGGTGACACAGTCGGTGCCCAAGTGTTAACTGCACACGTGAGGCCATATTTGTTACCATTTTAGATTTGTCTGCATTTGAATCTCATTTTACATAGAAGAAAACCAGAGTCAGAGGTACAGTGAAATAAATGGGTCCCAGCATTGTGCCTCCCCCCCGCCCAGCATACACTGATGGTTATGGTGGGGCGATCACGTACAGGTGGCGGGTAACCACCATCTGCACGAGGACTGCAGTGACTTGCCATGCTGCTTGGCGTAACCCTCAGAGCAGCGCGAATCTGATCCCGGCTCCCTGTCCCACAGGCACCATCCAGGAGGACTACCTGCGCGAGCTGCTCACCACCATGGGCGACCGCTTCACGGACGAGGAGGTGGACGAGCTGTACCGAGAGGCGCCCATCGACAAGAAGGGCAACTTCAACTACATCGAGTTCACGCGCATCCTCAAGCACGGGGCCAAGGACAAGGATGACTGAAAAGAACTCCGAATTCCCTCCAAATGCTCCTTGTTGCCACTTTGGGTATTTCTGAGACTTTTCTCTTAGAGCCTATTGTGTGCCTGTAGCTTGACAGCTTTTGCCTTTCTTGTTTTGTATTTATTCTCAGCCATTTTGGGGCACTTGTATCTTTGTAATCAGACCAGAAATGGGACATTTTGTCATTTTCAGAATAGAAGATTGGGTAATTTAACTTACCAGTGGTCCTCTCCCCCCATAACTGCAGTCTACACAGAGTCAATATATTTTTTCAGAGAAAGTTATTCACTCGATTTTTTCTGAACCATAATTAAACTTTATGATAAAATACTTGTTTAAACTTCTTATTTACCAAAGCTGGCTTTTGTGGGTTTTAGTTGCATCCTTCGAAGAAGTAGATGAGGTATATCCTAGAAAATAACATACATCTTAGACCGTCTTACTGTACCCTCCAGTTTTCCAAACAATCCTAGCTCCTCTCTTTCTATTCATTTCATTTCTTCCCCTCCCTAGGAAATTTAGTTTTCATGGCCCTAAGTAGGTTTCCTGCACTGTGTCTTCCAAGCTTTAAAATAATTTCCTGTGGAAGTTATTACTTTAATAGCTGTGAGTCCTTAAATTGACACACCTGCTGTATGTGATCTAAGCTTTTGCACATTATTTCATGCCATTTAAAATGAGGTCAGGCCAGAGTGTTAATTTTCATTTGTGCTATTTCTTGAACTACTTTCGCTCCAAAGGATCTGTGGCATGCTTTTTACCAAAAAGGCAGATTTCTGCATTGTATTTCAAACTGCACTTTTATTCCATAGCTTTTCTTTACTACAGCAGCCCCCACTGAAAGCCCAAGTTTGTTCATGCAGAGCTTCATCATGAGTCCGTCAATTTTAGACATTCCTGACCTGCCCACAATCAAAACGGCAGAAACTGCATGCCAGGGAGAGTGAGATCATTGTTCCAGTCCTAAAAATAACTTCTGCTATTTGCAGAAAGGCAGGTCTGCTTTAGAGTAATCTGTGGAAGACAGGTTCATTCACTGTAAGCTTCGAAACCAGACAATCATATATTTATGAGTTTTAAAAGCTTTGAAATGTTGGTTTAAAAGAATGACAGCCTACAGAGATGATCGGTTGACAGTTACTCTAATGACATCCAGTTTATGCTCCTATTAACCAGGCTGTCTGTGAAGAAAACTATTACCTCATCCAGTAAAGAAGTATTAAATCCTCCAGGTGGCAGACCTTTGCTCTTCATAGGGGAGCAAGCCAGATCCTTCAGTCTGGTAAAGCCACCTGTGTGGACCGTGAGCAGCATGACCGGTAACAGCTTGTCTTTTCCCCTTCAAGATTGCAATCATAGACCTGCCCTCATTCTCTGCCTGTCATTTGGTGATTTAAAAAAAACTTTTTCCAGGCTTCGACCATTGTACTAAAATTTTGTTGAGTTGAATTTCCATTTTAACTGAAAAAAATCACCTCTGGTTTGTTAAAAAAATCTCCAACACAGAATAAATAACATTATTTCCACTACAGAAAGAAAGAAGCAGTACTCAAATCACCCCTCGCAGTGTCCCCTTTTCTCTTTTGAAGACCTGCTCAAGGAGACAGCTTTCTGTAGGGACAGTGCATGGTCTGCCCTAAGTGGGATAAGCCTCCTGATTCAGCAGCTGTGTTCTCTGCTCAGCAACTGGCCTTTGCGTATACAGGGATGAGTGCCCACAGAAAGCTGAGTGTCTCCTTCAGTGGTGATTTGACTGCAGAGCTAAAGTCTAAAAAGTTTGCACAATGAGAATCACCTTGCAACAAAGCGTTTCCAAAGTTCTGGTGACACCAGCAGAACGGAGGCAGTGTCACTGTCCACCTGCTTGTGAGTTACAACAGTTGCTTGATTTCCCTGGAACCTGGATTTTTTGTTATTGTTTTAGTGTCCTCCTCCCTTTCACAGAGGTTGCAGGAGCTAATTACCCACATCAGGGAACTGTCCAATTATCCCAGTGCTGCTAGTCCATTGTTACCTTCTCTTCCTACTTCCAACTACCTACGCTTCTATTCTAAGTATGTGCATGCCTGCTCAAATAGGACTCAGGCCTTTTTTCCAGTGTCTGTCCACATACATTTTACAGTTGGAATGAGTTTACAACTTATTTTTTTAGTTCGATGTTTCTTAAATAACTTTTTATATTTTGGCATAGCTATTATTCTTGTTTGGAGTATAGTACTTTTTCAACCAGTCCTTTTAATGGATGGAAAATTATATTTGACTTATCTATACCATAAATTCTCAGATACTAGATTTTTTGATATCTGGCTTTTCATTAATAAATATGCCTTTGTTTGGAGTCTGGAGAGAATATAGCATAGAGTTACTGTTTTGGAACAGTGCTGTCCATTAGATTTGTATGGTAACAGAAATGCTCTGTGCTGTCCAGTAGGATGCTAGCTTCGTCGGGCCATTCAGCACCTGAAATGTGAAAAATACAACTGAGGAGCCTAGCATTAAGGTTGAATAGCCACATGTGGTTAATAACATTGTATTAGCACAACTCTAGAAACTTAAATACAGAGATCGGAGTAGAAGGTTGGACGTGTAACTCAGCAGCAGAGCGCTTGCCTAGGTACAGGAGGCCCTGGGTTCCAACTCCAGCACAATAGAAAACACAGTTCTCTGTACAATCGGTGACTCGGCTGGCCGAGGTAAGGGCTTATCCCAGTTTTGTGGACCCACGGGCTCTGTGACAGAGACCTGTGCAGCCAAGATCTGGTGCATGGAAAGACTTGTTCAGACCCTCAAAGGGCAGACTGCAGTTAGGGAAGGAGTGAATATGTAGAACCAGGTGTGACTTAAGGTGAGGACCACAGCATCACCATCACCTGGATGCTTAGTAGGGGGTGCAGATTCCCCACCTTTGTCCTACTGACTCCTAGTGCCAGGTTATGTGTCAACAGTCCCACCAGGTTATTCTACCTGGTCCTGCTGAAGAACTACTATAGTGGAGTGCTAGATACCCGGTTCCTACCTTCTAGGAATTACTGATCTAAGGTATTTCTAAGATATGGACTCCCCAAAGGAAGAGAGTTTGAATTATTCAATCCCCTTTCCAGCATCCGGCTCCTGTTTAGGCAATATGTATGTGCTCAAGAAAGATTGGCTGTCAGGTTGACTATCTTCCATTATTTTGAAATAGTGCTATTCTAGATTATTCTGTGGTGAGATTATAGCCACAAGCAACATGTAGAAAACCTGAATAATAGTGTGAAATTATTGACCAAAACTGTATATAGCCTGCACAATGTATATATATAGGAGCAATTGTCATCTCTCCATACTTTAGGAAAGCAAAGAGTTTGAATAAAACTTTCTCGTGGTTGAAAGGGGAATGAAACAGTCACCGTTGTGAGCTGATGAGGCCATAAACCTTCCGATGGGGTGGGTAAGAAAGGAAGACTAGGGTTACACATCTTGACTGGCTGGGATGCGGTTTTAAAAGAAGTGAAAGGGTTTCCAGAGCTGGCAGGAATGTGCCTGGCCGCCGCCCTCTTCTCTTCCCATATTACATGGAATATACTCTTAAAAATGACTTGTTTATCTGAAATTCAAATTTAACCAGGCTAACCACTTTATTTGCTAAGCCTGGCATCCTGGGCGGGCCGCTTCGAGCGCAGGGGACTCCGAGCTGGCGGTCACATTCCGCACCGTCCGGGCCCCGCCCCTCCGCGCCCCGCCCCCCCGGGGAATGCAGAAGGGCCCGGGCTCGCGGCGGGAGGGGCGGACTGGGAGGGACAGGCGCAGGGGACACACCGCCCCCGGGCCGGACGGGAAGGGCAGGAGCAGCACGGCCCAGGCCGGTGCGTGCTGCCTGGGCAGCTCCGCTCCCCCGCGGACGCGGACGCTCGGCCCCGCTGGAACCCGGCCGTGCCCCCCTGCCCAGTTGGACTCGCCCGCCTTCCGGTGCGACTTCCGCCCCGCCTCTCCGGCAGGAAGTGCGGGCGCCGACACAGTCCGGGCGCAGCCCATCTCGTTGCTTTTGCTACCGCTAGTCGCCCAGCGCAGGGCAGCCCCGTTTCTCGCGTCCGGAGCCGGGTGAGTGGCTTTCGGCCCTACACGCGCGACACCTGGCTCACGGGCCCCTCACGCTGCGCTCCTGCCGTGGGATCGGTGCGGTGGACGGAGAGGGAGCGGGGTGGAAGCGCTGGAGGCGCCGGGGGCTGGAAGTCGAGGGCCCAGGAAGCTCCGGGGCTGGAAGATGCCCTTTTGGGAGAGAGGGCCGGGACTTGGGTGACCCCACACGCCCGAGGCCCGAGTCGATGGGCCCCCGCAGTGCGCGATCGGCCGCCTCCCACTCTGGGCCGCACAGTGCGGCCGGCCCAGCAGCCTTCGAGCTCACTGTTCGCCCCCGAGGTGAGTGAGGTGTCCAGGGAAATACCGGAGAACCAGGCCCAGAGTGCGCGGCCGCAAAGGCTCAGATGTTACGGTTCCATAGGAGCTGAAGCTCTTCACTGTATCTCGTGTCTTGCAAAGACTTCGTTCATTCATGGTGATTAAAGAAAAGGACAATTGAAAAGACTTCCTTGCAAAGAATCGTGAGCTCAGTGAAGTCGCTGGGTTCAGTCCTAGGAAGGAGAACTGAGTGTTTCTGGCTGGATCCGTGGTAGGAGGTAACAAAACCAAAAAAAGGTCAGAGGTGGAAATTGTGTCTTGTGGGGAGCCAGCCTGGTGGAGCACAACTATAATGAGTCGTAGCTGGAGTGGGAGTGGGAGTTGGGGCTGGGTGTATAGCGCAGTGGTAGGACGCTTGCTTGTGCTCCAGTCCTGGGTTAGATCCCCAGCACCGCAGGTACAATACAGTAAGGGTAGTTAGGTGAGTGAAGCCTTTTTATGGATATCTTGAAAACTTGACAAGAAGTAAAAGGTTCTGTAGGAGGTCCTAGGGAATTATTTGGCTTTTTCAATAAGGGCTAACACGAAAGGAGGTGTTTAGGGGATTTGTTGGGCAGTTTTGCTTAAGACAGATTTGAAACGGCCTTTTGGTAAGAGAATCACAGCACTTTAGATTTCAGTGGGCTCTTATAAGATTATGTCCTGAAACACTTTCATGTTATAATCGAGGAACCTGATACAGCACTTAGAGGTGAGGTAATTTGCCCAAGGTCACTTGGAATTCAAGGCCAACTTCCAGCTCACTCTGTAAGCCTCGGGTGGACACCGCCTTCCCCCCTTCATAACTAGGTAAGCAGGCTTTTGTTTGTTCAGGCTCTGTTAAATGAAACAGCTTCATGGTGCCTGGCTATTTTTAATGCTTTCATGAGATAGGGTTTGGACAAGATGAACTA